AACGAATCATCATCATCATCAAATCAACATAGGACCAGGCATTACTGCGTAACGGTCCGAGTTGCCACACCTCATATCAGCACATCAAGTAAAAAGGTAGTGAGGTGAAGGATGAAGATAAGTGAATGCAGTCAAAAGAAATATAAAGTATGAGAAGAAAGGAAAGAGGAGTGACAAAATAGTGAGATTCGGTATAGCGTTGTTAAGATGAGGATAATGTGTGTATACATCTGCGCCACTGACTTCGGTTCTGAGCCATATCACCTAGGGTCTCCAACCACTGGTTCCTCTTGTCCCGTGGACCCCAACCACCTAGTCTGCATCGTCCTACATGGCTTAAACCAACAGTCAGAGACTTCATACATTGGTGCCATGTTTTAGTCTGGCCACCTCGGGCCTTTTTCCAGCCTGAACCCACCTCAGCCAACATTGTGTGACGAGGCAATCGGTGACTAGGCATACGTAGTACGTGTCCCAACCATCTCAGTCGATGAAGGTTCACAACCTCGTCGACTGACTTACCTCTTCTCCCTAAAACTCTACACCTAACTTCTGCATTACTCACATGGTGACACCACGGAATACGTCCTATACTACGAAGGCAACGGTGGTCAAATACCTGTAACCTTCTCATGTCTTCCACTTTCAATGGCCATGTTTCACAGCCATACAGTAGAACAGAGCGGACTGCTGTGCAGTACACGCGACCCTTAATAGACAAACGAATATCACGGCGGCGCCATAGGTGGCGCAAATTGGCAAAAGCCAATCGAGCCTTTTGTATCCGTGCAGAAATCTCATCGGCAACTAACCCACCGGGTTGATCCTACTTCCCAGGTAAGTGAAGTGGTCAACACACTCAACCACTTCACTCTCTATTGTTAACCGCGGTACCGCTGAAGACCAGTCCTGGAGCAAAAATTTGCATTTGGGTGGTGAAAATCGCATCCCAAACATTCTCAAATTCCCACTCAAAGTGTTCAGAAGACTCTGCATCTTGTCAGCGTCTTCACCTAACAGGACTATGTCATCTGCATATTCTAGATCTAAGGAAAATTCACCTGTGATCCGGTCAACGTCTTTGTAATTAGGTGACGAGAGGGAAACCTCCATAAGAATATCTATGATAAAATTAAATAAGAATGGGGATAGTGGGCATCCTTGACGGACACCACTTGATGAGTATAGCTCCCTGGACAACTCACCATAGGCTCTAACATGCCCACAAGTGTTCGAGTAGAGAGCTTTCAATAAGGTGATGTACTTACTAGGCACGCCTTTCAGTGACAGACACTGCCATAAGACTTCTCGATCAACGGAGTCAAATGCCGCCTTCAGGTCGAGAAATACAGCTATTGTCGGGCGTCTGTAAGCATGCCTATGTTCCAGGACCTGGCGCAGTGTGAATATTTGGTCGATACATCCACGGCCAGGTCTAAAGCCTGCCTGGTTTTCTCGGGCTTGCTGTTCCCGAGCTCCACTCAGGCGTCGGAGAATTATAGAACTTAGGATCTTAGACACTATGTTTGTCAGGCTGATTCCTCTGTGGTTATCACAAGAGGACTTCTCGCCTTTCTTGAAGACTGGGATGATCAGTGACTTAGACCAGTCGGAGGGGATCGTATTTGATTCCCATATACTGGCTAACACTTCCGTTAGCCTGACTAAGAGAACTCTACCACCATTCTTGTATACCTCAGCAGGTAGTCCGTCTGGTCCTGCTGCCCTTCCCGTTTCAGGCTACCTACCGCTTTCTCGACTTCTTCTAGTGTTGGGGGACCTGTCTCTATGTCCCATTCAGGGTCCGACTGGATAGCGGGCAGCGCAATGGTGGCTGGAGGCCAGTTAAACTGTTCCTCAAAGTGTTCTGCCCATCGTCCCAGTCGCCTTCCCTGCGAGTGAATCGCAGATCCGTCCTTCTCCGCTATAACCTCACTAACTGTTGTTGACCATTTCCCCCCAGTCTCCTTAATAAGTCTAAATAACTGTCTACTGTTACCGATCGCCGCTGCCTTTTCCATCTCTTTAGCCTTTGCTGCCCACCACTGTTCACGATCGTTGCGCAGACTTTTCGTCAGTTTATTTTTAAGTTGCGCTCGCTCTTCATTGTACTCAGAGCCTGCAGGGATGCATTCACGTGCATCCATTAGTTTGGAAGAAGCTGCTGATATCCACTGGCTCTTTTTAGCCATTATCTTGGAGTCGGCTACAGTCTCCAGTGCTGCTTTTACAGTAGACTGAAGATGGCACCAAGCTTCTTCTGGATGAGTGACAGTCTTTTGTTCCGATAACTGCCTAGCCAACTTCTCACTGAACACGGCTTTGGTGTTTTCGTTGTCCAGCAGAACTCGTAGTGGTTTTGTTGCCAAATTTTTTCTACGTCCATTGAGACGCAGGCATATACGTGCTCGGACCAACGCATGATCGCTGTCCAAACACGTACTCCAGAAGGAGCGGCAGTCTTCCACCGATCCTCTCCAGCGATGACTAATAGCAATGTGGTCTATCTGTGTCCATCGCTGAGTCGAGCTCGGTGGACGCCAGGTCAGACAGTGCCTTTCTTTATGTCTGAAATTTGTGCTGGCTAAAAATAGGCGGTTATCTGAGCATAGTTGTAATAGGCGATCACCGTTATCTGTACGTTCAGCTGGGATTCCGAAAGTGCCACCTAAGTGCCTTTCTGCCTCACTCAGTCTACCCACCTGTGCGTTGAGGTCACCTGCAACAACCACTACGTCCGAACGTTTGGCTTTCGAGAGGAGGTTAGACAGTTTATGGTAGAACTCGTCCTTCACTTCATCCGAACTACAGTCAGTGGGTGCGTAAGCAGAGATTACAAAGAGACAACGGCGAGTCTCACTATTCCTTTTAGTTCTCACTGTGCCGTTCAGCCTCATAGCGCAGAGGCGACTATCAACTGGGATCCAGTCTAGTAGTGAGTTTTCTGCCCTGGTGCTTAATGCTATACCTACACCTGCAAGACCACGAGAGCTAGCTATCGAATCTCCAGAAACTCGAAGGGTGAATTTTGCAGATTCACCAGATTGGTCAGGAGAGGTCAGGTGAATAACCACACTTGGGTCCTGTATGCGTGTCTCACAAACACAGCACACATCCATGCCTCGAGTTGCTAGAGTCTTTGCCAACGAAGCCTGTTGGCCAATTTGACGGAGGGTGCGGACATTGAAGGCTCCAATATGTAATTTGGAGCGTGGTTTAAGGAGACCAGGGACACTGTTCTGTGGACTCAGATCGTTGTCGAAGGCTGCAGAGGTAGGAGAAATTGAAGATGATGCAGCATCATTAATTAAGAGACGTGAAGGAAGATTAGAAGGTAATGATGGAGGAGGAGGATAGCAGTCAGAAGAAACTTGGGTGCTGACAGAGTTGTGAGGGCGGTTGACACTTCCCGGCTGCCCACACCGTGGAAGGCTATTTCTTCTTAAGGTACCTGAAAGAGATTTGTGTGACCGCAGAGCCCATCGGACATCTGCTTGAGGCCTGTCACACCCAGCCTTTTGAGTATGATTATTTTGAATTTTTGTATTTTTGGGGCCGGATGAGCGAAAGGAAACGACAAGTGAACCAACACCGCCGGCCCGGCAGACCGTGGGGCGTGGTGGAGTGTGTTATTTTTGGGGCCGACCTTTTCTAACCCCCCCTTCCACTGAGAAGGCAGCATCAGCTTGGCACTGCTGGTCATCCAAGGGAAACACCTTACTGCTGTCACACCCCATCCAGCTAGCAGCAGTACGACTTCGCCCTCAGACCCCCATCATAGTATAGCAATTTACACTATGACGGTAACTGCTTTTCGTCTAACCACTACCCAACAGACCTTTCTGGTATGGTAGGACCTCGAGGGAACAAGCGTTCCACCAGCATAGCTCGTTGGGTCATTGTGATATGCAAGCCCGACCACCACGTCAAGGTAGCAGCTATCGGTCGGGAGGTAGCAGCTATCGGTCGGGCCCGAACGAATCGGTTGCTACTGGAATCCCAGCTGGGATACAGAAGTCCCGTTTGACATTTGCCAAATTGCATCCTCTGTGGCGCTAGCTGGTAAGATATCCGACTACCTGTTAAAGGACGAGTATACTGCACTGCAGTCCGGTCTTCCTTGTTATACGACTGTGAAGCATGACCGCCGTTGAAAGTAGACGAACTGACGAGATTACAGGTTTTTGACCACAGATGTCTTCGCAGCAATGTTGAGGTTAGGTGAAGAGTCCTACCAAGACAGTCAAGTTAGTTGTCGAGGTGGTTGTGAACCTTAGTCGACTGAGGTGTCCTGAACATGTGTTGGGTATGTGGAGTCACCACCACCTACCTATCTTGAGATGGAATGATAGAGTAAGTCGAATGGGTTGGAAGAAGACTCATGGTGGTCAGACCTGGATGTGGTACCAGTTGTTGATGTCTTTGACTAACGGTGTTGAGGTATGTATGAGGGTGTACAGTGTCTGGTTGTGGTTTTTGTGTAATGAGAGGAATGGGTGGTTGGAGACTTATTGAAATGGCTGAAAATCGTTGACAACTGTGTAAATGTATTCCCTCTTTGACGTCTTCGGAACCTTGAACATTTCCACTTACCTTCCTTTTATAATTGTCACTCATCTTGTACACTTGGTCTAGTGGGATGTCTCCTCCATTCACATGTTCCATGCGTACTGCTGTAAAGTGTGGAAAGTTGAAGGGACGCGTTTCCCTTGCCACGTTTTGCGTTGATTTTGTGTGTCTTTCATCTAGTGAAGTTGGTGATACGTTATTTTAAACAGACGCTCATTTAAATATGTTTTTTTCGATGAAGTATAGATCTCTTTTGCAGTCAAGGTAGTTGATATGCTGAAATAGCAACTAAGTATTCAAGGTCATTGGTGCGAAGTCTTATAGTGGTTTCTTATTACCTATAATTTCGTGTTGATTTGTAAAATGTTAGATCTTATTCCTCATTGTTGTCATTTTGATTCAATTTCCATTTTTTGGGACCGTGCTATTAGGAATTACAAAGACTTGAATTAAGTCAGAAGAAAAGATCTAGTGCGGTTAGCTTGAGACCTCCAATACAACAGCCTGTCAACAGTCATCAGCAAAACAAAGAATCCTCACTTAAAGTAAGTTGGATATTTCAAGATTTACATTTGCGGTTAAACTGAAAGTCATGGTTGAATTGTTACTCTGACTTCTATGGCATGTAACTGCTAGAGCCATTTTCTCACACGTAATGCTATTACTTCTAAAATTTGTTTTGTGTCTGTTCAGTCTAATATTAGTGATTGGCTGGAGCTGTAATTGTTCCACCTACCAATCTGGTTTTAATATTTCTCGGACAGTGTTATTAGTTTGCATTCAATCTCAAATTGTTTCAAATCACATTGTTATTATATTAATGCTAATTATCTTGCACCATGCTTTAATTACAGCCAACTGAAACAAATAATATAAGCAAAACAAATAACGATTTCGACCTTTTGGGACTTGATAGTATATCTACTACAGCGGACGGAGGCGATTTGTTTAGTCATATCAGTCCTAACTCAGTAACTTGTGGAAGTCAACAGCAGCGTCTAGCGTTTGGACAAAGCAAGTCAGTCAGCTCACCAGTAGATACAAGTCATCAGGATCAGAAACCTAGAGTACGTAATTCACTGTTTCTCCGGAATTATATTGCAATAATTTTACAAAATACAATAGTTGGTAATTTTTGTGAAATAGCTATTATCCATTCATTTTTTTATTTAGATATTTTCAAACAAATCAACGTCTCAGTTAATGGGTATTTTGTTTGAATTCTGGCAGGACTGGGTGTGACAGCAGTAAGGTGTTTCCTACAGATGACCAGCAGCAACATGCTCCTGTTGTCTTACTTGTGGGAAAGGTTGGGTCAAGAAGTAGCACACTCCATCTGCTCTGTGGTCTACCGGTACCGGTGGTGTGGGAGTTTTCATCTCCGGCGTTAGAACAGCCGAATCTGAAACTAACCATCTTCGAAAGGGAGTTTGTGGCAGGATTCAGGCAGAGGTCTCATGGGTTTTGTGGTCACAAATCGTCTGCTTCTTTCAGGTACCCTGGAGTAAACAATTTGTATGATGTGGACATCCGGGAAGTGTCCGATCAAGCCTAACCTATTCTCGTTGTGCTTGTTTCCTTCTTTATCTTCACTTCCTGAAAGCAGCAATAACCTCTTACAAGTTGCTCAACCTCTCACTCTGTGACCACTGCCAACGATCAAAGGCAACGGGACACCATTTCTCGTCTCCTGATACCTCACTGTCGGTTTAATATTATAGCCTTCAACATGTGAATCGTCTACCAAGTTGTAAGATCGTCAGGCTCTTGGGAAACTATGGAATTTGGATTCATGGATGTATACTGTGTTTCTGAGACACGTGTATAGGACGCGAGTTTGGTAATGAACTTGACGTCACCTGGGGAGTGTAGTGAATCTTCAAATTTCACCTTTCGAGTATTTGGAGATTCAATGTCTAGCTGTTGTGTGCTCTCTGGTGTAGGCATAATATTGCGTTGTAGAGCAGAAAGTGTACTTCTCGACTGGAAACCAGTTGACAGCCGCCTACGTGCTGTCTGACTGAGTGGATGTGTGAGAAACAGAATGGTTTGGGAGACTAGCGGATGTCAATTTGTAATCTCCGTCTATGCACCCACCGATTGCATTTCGGCTGACGCAAAGATGGATTCTATCAGAAGCTATCATTTTCGGATTAATGCTGAGCTATCTCCTCCTTAAATGCGAACTTGACGTTCTTATCGTGTAGTCAAGCTTTTGCTAGCAGGGAGCCCGAGGCATACACCCCCCCCCATCGGGCGTGATCAAAATCTAAATAGGTACTCCAGAAAGAGTGACAATCCTCCACACATCCCCTTCAATGATGGGTTATCGCAATACAATCTATCTGTGTCAATCATCCGTTTTAAGTTGGAGGACTCCATGCGAGACTGTGTTTCTCCTTATGCCTAAAACTTGTACTGGCTAGAAACAAGTGATTGTCCGAGCGAAATTGCAACAGACGATCACGCTTGTCGGTTCGTTGGCATGGGATTTTGTACATGCCTCCAAGATGCCTCTCCTATTTAGCTAGGTTCCCCACGAACCTTCCCAGTCCTTACAGATCCATTCAGTTTAACAGCACGTAGGCGGCTGTCAACTGGTTTCCAGTCGAGAAGTACACTTTCTGCTCTACAACGCAATATTATGCCTACACCAGAGAGCACACAACAGCTAGACATTGAATCTCCAAATACTCGAAAGGTGAAATCTGAAGATTCACTATACTCCCCAGGTGACGTCAAGTTTATTACCAAATTCGCGTCCTATGTATGTTTCTAAGAGAAACAACATACATCCATGGTTAAAGATTCCAGACTTCTCGGCATAGAGTGTGTACGTTAAAAGCTCCTGAATGAAATCGGTGGTGGGGTCTCGGGAGACTAGGAATGAGGTTTTGAAGGCTTTGATCATTCCATATGGTCACAAAGTGAAGGGTTGGGGACGGTGTAAGTCTTAATATTAGTGTCAGGAGATGAAGTCAAAAAGACACAGGGGATGAGCACAAGTTATGCTTGATAGGACCTTGTATACCATTGATAGAGTATGGGCGGTTGACACTTCTCGGCTGGACACACCATGGAAGGCTGTCTTCTTAAAGTACTTGGAAGAGAACGATTTGTGACAGCAAAGTCCAACGGACATCTGCTGGGGGTCTTTTGTTCACAGCTTTTTGTGTGTTGTTTTGAAGTTTGGTTTTTCTAACACCGGATAGACAGAACCGATACCGCCAGCACCTGAAGACCGTGGGCCATAGTGGGGTGTTATTTTTGGGGCCTACCTTTTCTAACCCTACCCTCCCCCCTCTAGTGTCAAGCCAGCGTCAACTTGGCACTGTTGGTCATCCAAGGAAAACACCTCACCGCTGTCAGAATCCATCCAGCTAGCAGTGTTACTTAGCCCTCAGACCCGCATCATAGTGCAGCAGTTTACACAACGGTAATTGCTTTTCGTCCTACCACTACCCAACAGACCTTTCTGGTATGGTAGGATCTTGAGAGAACAAGCGTTCTGCTCAGTGTGGCTCGTTGAGTCATTGTGATATACAAGCCCGACCACCATGTCAAGGTTGGAGCTGGCGATCGGAAGTAGATACAAGCGTTAGAACAGGCGGCTTAAATGTGCAGATAAGGAATCTGTTGAAGGTAAGGTCTGATGTTGTCAGTAAATAGGGATAGCCCATACCAACGAACTGATAGTGGTGTTCGTCTCTTGGGAGTTTGTCCTGATTATCACCCGTTACTTATCAATTTTAATTTCAAGCTCGAGGAAAGTCACTCACATGGTGTTCACCGACACAAACCGGCAGTGGACACAGAGATGGGATATTGCTATCAAACATCGTTGGAGTAGATTGTTGGCTCGGTTACAGAAAGCCGGTTTGCCATCTCCTGTCGTGCGACTGTGAAATATAGCCATTAACAGTAGAAGACTTGAACCGGTTACAGGGTATTGATCACAGGTGTCGTCATATCATTGCTCGCATTTGGTAGAATCACCATGTGAACATTGTTGAGGTCAGGTGAAGGGTAATAGGCAAGACAGGCAAGTTGGTTGATAACGTATTGAACCTTAGTCGACTAAGATGACTAGGACATATGTTGTGTGTGTGGAGCTACCGCCCACCTCGACGTGCCAAGCTGGGGGATGTCTGATTAGATTGAAATAGAGTTCATCGTGGGCAGACCAAGACCTGGCACCATTCGAAGAAGTCTCTGACTGTTGGTCTGAGCCGTATGTGACTATGTAGACTGTCCGGTTAGAGTCCCCAAGACGAAAGGAATCAGTGGTTGAGGACTCTTTTTGACATGTGTGAAAATCGTTGACAACTGTGTAGATGTATTCCCTCTTTGACATCTTCGGAACCTTGAACATTTCCACTTACCTTCCTTTTATAATTGTCACTCATCTTGTACACTTGGTCTAGTGGGATGTCTCCTCCATTCACATGTTCTATGCGTGCTGCTGTAGTGTGGCAAATTGAAGGGGTGCGTTTCTGTCTGTTGGTCGTTTTTTTTGTTTTCGATTTCTGCGGAAGCACTGAGGTTCGCTTCTGTCGACTACTTTGAGTGTTATTTTGAAGGTCGTGCTTAAATTGACTCTTGGTGGCACTGTCATGCGTGGAGGATTTACTCCTTCGGTTGCTATTTTAAATGTTGTGTGGCATGTTCCACCTGATTTACCATTTTTGATTTTTAGATGTCACATCATGGGTTTCACACTATTCAATGCACTCTCGTTCGCAACCCTGGTGCTGCTATTTGTCTCTCCGATAAAGTACTCGTTTCATTTTTCTAATTGGCTGGGTTTCGAAACTTGTGTAGTTTAAGGAAAGCATTTAAAAATAAACTATTTCAATTTACTTTAATAGAGTCCTTCATCAGAGTAACATTTCCACTAATATTTCATTCTAGCTGTGTGTTATCTTACAGTGTTGTGAGTAACGAAAATAATTTCGCACTACTTGTTTACATTCAGGATATATCATCTAGTGTGACATCTGATCTTCTGGGTTTAGACTTTGGAAGTACTACTTTGGAGCCGAAAAGCCTTCAAGCGCTGGGAAAGATTCTTCGATCTCTAATACGAAGATAACTAAAGACTCTATATTAGCTTTGTATCAGCAAAGCACACCACAATCTCGTGGGCTAGGATTTTCGTCGTATCCTGGAAACACAGGACAGTTTCCTATTTCTAGCATGTCAGGAGGTCAGTGTTTCAGTCACCATGCACCAGCTGACCAAACACTTTGCAACAAAGGTATGGGCGACCTGGGTAAGTACTGTTTTGTAAAATTGTTAAGATAACTCCCAACTCAGTTGTCAGTAATGCTAGGCAGTAATAAATACAAGAATTCAGCATTTTGCCAGGTCATATCTAGCAAAAAATCATGGGTTTGGTACATAAATCATTATGATTTCGAAGTCAATTTTTTTCTGTCGTTTGGAACAGAGATAACTAATTTCTAGATGTTACTAGGTTGTGATAGCCATCAATGAGCTATTTCTTACTTTACTTCTCTCCCTAATCCATTTTCTGAAGTTGATTATTATGTAGTGCTTTTTCAGTGCTCCCTTCGAGTATGAATGTCGTTCATTTTTAAATAATTATTCGAACTCTAGTAGTTTAAATGAGCCACTCAATAACTGGAGACGATATAAAAATCAGCATCACTTTTCTGTATCTTTAGGTCTTCTGTTTTCAAACAACGGAAAAGCAGTAGAAGCCTAGATGCATATAAGCAACTGCTCCTTCACTAGTTATTGTTTCTCATCTCTTTCTTCTCTTATATCTTAATGCGTTTGTATTTTTATGTGGTTCATTTCTTGTTGTTGATATTGGATTAGATTTGTGTTGGAATGGGATAAATCAATTTTCCATGCTACTTGTGAAGTGTGGAAACATACTAATCGATACTACTGAACAACATGAGTAGTTAGAAACTACTCACAATGGTTTGTAGATTTTTCTACCCAGTTCTGAGCAGTCTAAATACCTTGTGCACGTTTCACTCGTTTAGAGTCGAGTTCATCAGAAATATATCCCGACAAGGTCAGCCCACAGAGCCGAATGGATTAAATCAACCGAGTCTGGCTAGCTGACTTGGGCAAACCAGCGTACCCTAAATAGGATGATCAGTTTGCAAATGATCTATAAATTGCACTGTCTAGTTTAATACTTCTCACGCAGTAAATAAAAAAAATAGAATTTACTATGGAAAATAGTCGTGGTAACAAGTTGTACCTCGTAAACAGTGAGATATATGAATTGAGAAAGCCAAAGCAGTTAACCGTAAAAATGCATTAAAGGTACTTCATACTAATCTAAGTAATTTTTGTCTAATAAGCTGAAAAAACGATTAGTTAAAACTATGAGTTGAATGATAACAATAATGCAACACAGTCGTACTATACATTTTGTGTCCGCGAGGCTGTAAGCCACACGGTATGTAAAGGCTCATTAAAAGACTTCGTTACTCCGGGTGGAATAAAACTTAATGCAGCTTGAACTTAGGACATATTCGTTGAAAACGAAGCGTCTAAGCCCATGACTTACTTGTTAATAACACTTCAACCACTTGTTTGTCCTCAAGATTCGTATCCGTACTGGTGAATGTAAATTCTCTAATTTTTTTCGCACACGTAAAACTCATGGTGTCTGTCCTTCAAAGCTGAAAAAAATTTTTCCATTCTCTTTTTTATTCTCTTCTCTGGTTTTGAACATACGTTGAACCTTCCGGAAAGTAAGCAAACTTATGGAAAGTTCTTGAGTTATGCGTCCGAACCCATTTCGATTACTCAACATCAATGTTCTGTCCCTTTCACACTGGTAGATCCCTATCATATGTGTTACACTAAGTAAATGCTTTTAGCTCGCAAATAGGTGGTCAAAATGGAAGCAAAATGCACTTATATCGTGCTGTTTTAATGTTGGTTTTCACTTTGTATATAAAATTTTGTGTCTGTTAGCTGCTAAACAGTTCCTAAAGAAAATTTATTCCTGAGTCGGGATGGTTATGCTGCGTTATTTATTAGTGCTCCACACCTTCCAGCATTTTGAGATGGTTTTGGCTTGAAAGCATACCTCAATGAAGTCTGAATTATTGGTAATGAACACATTTAAACAAGCCAGGGACATCTAGAACCAAAAAATAAATTGAGGTTATCGACTTTACCATTTGACTACAAAATGTTTAAAAATTTTCTGGACGAAGACCTCCTTTTTAGCTATAAATTCCTAGATTCCTCAAAAACTTGACAAAAACCTTTCCTTTCCACATACTTGCTTCCATAAGCATATGTAACTTTGTAAATCCTACTTCAGAATAGACCGACAAATCAATGTAGTACCTGGGTTACAAGCGCAGCATTCCCGCTTGCCTTGCCTCACAGTAACATGTAACGGAAAAATGGATACAATAGGTGGTACTAAATCAGACAAAGATATGAAAGTTAGAAAAATAGGTGATTTAAAGGTGGTAAAAATACTTAAAACTTACAAGGTTGCACATCTGTATCGCTGTGACCGGTTTTCAACCAATTAATCAGTAGTCTGCAAACAATGATTCTTAGCATCTTAAGCACTCCAATCAGACAGTCCATACCAGTCTGCACGGCTCACACCAACAGTCAAGAACTTCATGGACTGGTGTCACATCTTAGTCTGGTCAACCTGAGTCTTCTTCCAACCCACTCCCGCTACGGTCAACATTAAACATCGAAGTGGGTGGGTCACTCATCATGTGCAACGTATGTCCGTGCCTCCCAAACCAACGAAGACACACAACCTCATGGATTAACTTGCCTCTCTCAACCTCGACATTGTTGACACAGCTATTCAATAGCATAAAATCTAAGTGTTTGTGATAAAAAGGTCATCGAATACCGTAAACAGTTGCACATTCGTTAATTGGTTCGAAGCAATTAAAGAAATCTATGTGAGTGAGGATAAAATTATTAACTTTAATTACCGTGATCAAACCTGTCATTACATTGTATATTTCTGCAGCCGACGTTGTCCAAATGCTATATTAACTTTCATTAACCTATTCTCAGAATGGATGTTAACATAACAGTCAGTATTACAACAAGCCTTGAAGTTCCTGTGCTATAGCCAAATTCGCTACATCTTACATTAACACGTCGGGACATAAAGCAACAAAAGAAGACGAAGAAATGGACGTTATTTCGCGAAAGGTCACGGAAAATAATAAAACAAGGTATGGAAAGGTTAAAGCAAATGAGTAAATGTAACATAGCGGTTTAAATGAAGACATGGTGTGTATGCATCTGCATCACTTCGATCGATTCTGAATTCAACCACACTAAGTTCACAGCCATTGATCTTAATAATTATGCAGATCTAAACCTGATCTGCATAATTCTACATGCTCAGATCAGTGAGTTCATTTAATAACTTCATATTTTAGTCTAACTACTATTAATTTTTTTTCAAACCTAACGCTACTTCATTTAACCGACAACACGTCAGTGTAAATGATCACTGGACGTGAATAATACCATATTCATTTCATTTGAGAGTTTGCGATTTCATTACTCGTAGTTGACTATAAAACACGTAGCAATGCTAAGAAAGCAACGGTAATCCAGCCGTCTCTCTTTTATTCACTTGAGGTTTTTTTTACTCAGGACAATAAATTGCCTACTAACTTTTCGTTCATTCAACGTTGTTCTTAGTGCTAGTCTCCTTTGACGTGCATTTAAACAGTGACTTTCGACTTGTTTAAGAGCTTGTTTTTGATTTTAGTGTGAGTGAGTGGTCAATTAGGTGGTTTTTTCTGTATAAACATTTGTATTGTTAATTTACTGCCGATAATTATTTTTCAGGTGATGCACTTGTAAAAGAGTCGAACTTTTCCACCAACCAGTTCATGTCACCAGGTGTGGGCTTGTGTTCACTTGGGACGAAAAATATGAATATACCTTCACAACATCCCGTAAGTATGTCATTCGATTTGTTCACTTACTCTCACTAAGCGTGGAGAATTTGTCTATGGTGTTATAGTGTAGATTTGCATAGTCTTGTGCACTAGCATCCACGTTTATAGATCACGTTTGTCTTATGAAATCCTGTGAATTATTCCTAGTTGTTACTTTAATGTATTTAAGTGGAGTATATTGTTTGCCTTTGTATAAATTTCTTTCCTGTCTAAAGTTACATTTTAGTATGAGAATAAAACCAGCTTTTGTAGATCCCCATGATAACTAGTCTTTGTAGGGAAAAAACGACTTACTACTTGGATTGTAATGTAGCCTCATATGAGTATTTCAGAACTTTTACAAATTTAACTACTCATATACTTGTGTTTAACAACACAATCTCACTTCTGAAATTCTTACAGGAATTGAAAAACATCCCAAAGACGTTTGCAAATTAATAATTTCTCTTAGTAGAGTACTTAATTTTTTCCATTGTAGTGGTTTGTCTATGCTCTTTCTTGGTTACTGCACGATAGGAAGTTTTTTCTAAATTTGACACTTTTGATAGGATATTCCAGAGGGTGTTTGCAATCATGCAAACAGACCTTGGGTTAGGTATCAAAGTTTTTCTTACATTTGACCCCAGGGGTCCGGTGATCCGAATCGTGCCATGGTCCAGATTTCTCATTTCACCTTCAATCATCACTCATTATCAATGCAAGTCTGCCGAACCACGACTATCTTAGATAGTCGAATTGATAATTCGTATGTGTACTAGAAGTCAGTCAAGCCAATATTTTTGTTCATTGCTCCACTGATCAACCGTAACAGTCAACTGAAGACCTAATTGTACTTGCACTGATACTTCCAATTTCTACAATAGGAATTTCGGTCCTAATATTCAAGGATCTGGCAAAAGGGTAAACCGAAATGATTATGAATTTAAGGATAGTAGAATATGAATCAGTGTGAACACCATTGTCTCCGGTTTTAAGTGTTTCTGAACAAATCTGTCAAGCCGTTTTCACTGATTCAATAACTCAATTCTGGTACGTCCTTTCATATATCAGGCCAGTGTGCAAAAATTTCAGATTTATTACTCCATTACAGTTGTGTAAAACAGGCTCTATAAAAAAGAATTTTTAGTTTTTAGAATCTTCTGAACCACCAGTGTCAACTATTCACCAGAACCAACCGTATCATGGGTGTGTATTTAGCATAAAAAGTTAAAAATAGGTGGATTTATTCGAATGGATGTATAAAAGTGAGTAGCTTTCTGGGAATTTTTCATGTCTTCATATATAGCACCTGGTTAGTGAAGTGATAGTAGTCATTATCAATCATTGTTTCAACTAAGTGTAAGGAAAGTAGGTGAGACGAAGGTATAATTTCGTGAAGCCGTGTTTTAGGTTTTCCTATGATCTGGCAGATTGTGTACAGTAAATTCACTATATAGTTACAAACCGATATCTTACATGTTCATATGAGATATTGATTTTTTCGAAGAATATAACTTATTAATATCGCTAAGTTATGTTTGAAGGTGGTAGAGCGATTAGTACATCACAGTTTCATAAGAGTATTGTAATAGTAATGTATTTTGTATCATCTTATTACTGGTTTGGAAATCTAAGCATTAATGTTAGCTACATATCAATAATAGGATCTTACGTCAACCCGCCAACCTAGCAGATTTCAAATAATACTGTGATAAGAATTCACAAAATAAGGGAATTAAATGAAAGCCATCCGCCGACGCAGTAAAATGAGAAAGAACAAGATAATAGGAATAAAGACGTAATGTTACTATGTGAATGAAAACAGATCATAGATGCATCACTTCTGCGATCATTTTCATTCCCAGTCCATCGGATTTCTCAACCTATTTTGATTATCTTGTGAATCCCACTCAGAGAATCTGCTTTTCTTTACACTACTCAAATCAAAAATTGGCGACTTCATACATTAAGCAAAGGAACACGGAACCTTGCATGCAAGTTAATCAGTTCTCAAATGACCATACAAGAAGAAGTGTATAGAAAAAGAATGATATCGAAATAGACAAAGTGCATCTAAGGAAACGGACTGAATAGATAAGGGTTATTGAAAATGCTTAAAGTTTTGAATGTAAAGAAGGTATGCATCAACTTCATCGTAACTCATTCAGAACTAAATTATTGAGAGTATCCAGCTTGATTCCTATCATCTGGAGATCACCAACCGGATAGTTTGCATACATCAGTCAGCGGGCAATCAACGATTGAACTGTCAGTGGTATTACCCCAAAGTCTGTCTGTAAAAGCACGCTACCACCCTCTAGTGCGTAATTATCTCATGAGTACAAGCTTGTTTCTTTTTCAAAATCATCCTTCTGTGTCACAGTGAAACGTAGTAACTTCAAACTCATTACTTGTATACTGGGTTGTACATTAGTGTTTTCTCTCAAGGTCGGCTCATTGTTTCAGAGAAATACCGTTCGATATACTGATAACTAATTTTCGTAAATCAGGTGACGAAGATCATCCACTGCAACATTTCTCGAATGGTTTGGCAAATCACTGCATGTCTGTTGATTACTTTTCTATTCAGACCGTATTTCCTACCATTCAAATTTGAAGCAGAGTAAATGTAGCAGTCGGATTTTGATGGTTTGGCTTCATGTAGTAATAACGGTTCTTATTGGATTTTTTTCCCCAACCCATTGTTATGTAGTATTTGTCGGATTCAGCTTTTGCATGGATGACGAATAAAGTCAATTGTGAACAGATCGGCGGAAATATATACTATCTGCTTCAAGTATCATAACCACACTTCAAACGTAACATGATGAAAAAGTGAACAATCTTAAGCAGCATGTTTAGAATGTTGTAAAAATTTGAATGCAGTTACTTAGGCCTCCGAAAAATATATGATTCGTAGTCGTTGGTCTCTGCGAGATCATCGTGACTGTTTGATCACTCTCTGTACATTCCAAAAGATACCGAATACTATTGTTTTCGTAAGCTTTTTACGAAATTCTCAAAGTCCACATAACATTATCGCTGTTAGAGTTTGGATTACCGTTAATGGTTTTATATAGCCGTTCTTACCCTTCGTACATGGAATACTTCGTTCTTAGAGTATTCATCGAATCTCTGCTTTATTTTTGCACTGCTACCGTTGAATCAGTCGCACTATAGAGAAACAAGTAGTCGTAATCCAATAGCTTTATGGTTTAACGTATACTTTTAAGCCACATCTGTTGTTTGAGGTCAAATGATACTCACTGACCGCTCAAACCTCGGTAAGTGGAGTGCGGTTCGAACCCACAACCCACTTATTAAAATTCAACCTTTCAGACCAATGAGTCAACCATGACCCAACGACATACGCCAGTGAGGCACTTTTTCTTCTGAAGTCCTGCAATACCAGATAAGTGTCGTCCATGACAATGACACAAAAAACAGTTATTGTCTTTGTGTAAGTTACTACGTTATGATGTGGATCCGCACATGGAGCCATGCTGCTAACTGGCCATCGTGTGACAGCAGTAGGGTGTTTCCTACAGATGATCAGCAGCAACATGCTCCTGTTGTCTTACTTGTGGGAAAGGTTGGGTCAAGAAGTAGCACACTCCATCTGCTCTGTGGTCTACCGGTACCGGTGGTGTGGGAGTTTTCATCTCCGGCGTTAGAACAGCCGAATCTGAAACTAACCATCTTCGAAAGGGAGTTTGTGGCAGGATTCAGGCAGAGGTCTCATGGGTTTTGTGGTCACAAATCGTCTGCTTCTTTCAGGTACCCTGGAGTAAACAATTTGTATGATGTGGACATCCGGGAAGTGTCCGATCAAGCCTAACCTATTCTCGTTGTGCTTGTTTCCTTCTTTATCTTCACTTCCTGAAAGCAGCAATAACCTCTTACAAGTTGCTCAACCTCTCACTCTGTGACCACTGCCAACGATCAAAGGCAACGGGACACCATTTCTCGTCTCCTGATACCTCACTGTCGGTTTAATATTATAGCCTTCAACATGTGAATCGTCTACCAAGTTGTAAGATCGTCAGGCTCTTGGGAAACTATGGAATTTGGATTCATGGATGTATACTGTGTTTCTGAGACACGTGTATAGGACGCGAGTTTGGTAATGAACTTGACGTCACCTGGGGAGTGTAGTGAATCTTCAAATTTCACCTTTCGAGTATTTGGAGATTCAATGTCTAGCTGTTGTGTGCTCTCTGGTGTAGGTATAATATTGCGTTGTAGAGCAGAAAGTGTACTTCTCGACTGGAAACTCGTACTCGCTTCGGCGGTACATATACTAAAATTGGAACGATACAGAGAAGATTAGCATGGCCCCTGCGCAAGGATGACACGCAAAATCGTGAAGCGTTCCATATTTTTTGGTTAACAATAGAGAGTGAAGTGTTGACCACTTCACTTACCTGGGAAGTAGGATCAACTCCGGTGGGTTAGTTGCCGATGAGATTTCTGCACGGATACAAAAGGCTCGATTGGCTTTTGCCAATTTGCGCCACCTATGGCGCCGCCGTGATATTCGTTTGTCTATTAAGGGTCGCGTGTACTGCACAGCAGTCCGCTCTGTTCTACTGTATGGCTGTGAAACATGGCCATTGAAAGTGGAAGACATGAGAAGGTTACAGGTATTTGACCACCGTTGCCTTCGTAGTATAGGCTGTATTCCGTGGTGTCACCATGTGAGTAATGCAGAAGTTAGGTGTAGAGTTTTAGGGAGAAGAGGTAAGTTAGTCGACGAGGTTGTGAACCTTCATCGACTGAGATGGTTGGGACATGTGTTACGTATGCCTAGTCACCGATTGCCTCGTCACACAATGTTGGCTGAGGTGGGTTCAGGCTGGAAAAAGGCTCGAGGTGGCCAGACTAAAACATGGCACCAATGTATGAAGTCTCTGACTGTTGGTTTAAGCCATGTAGGACGATGCAGACTAGGTGGTTGGGGTCGGTGGGACAAGAGGAACCAGTGGTTGGAGACCCTAGGTGATATGGCTCAGAACCGAAGTCAGTGGCGCAGATGTATACACACATTATCCTCATCTTAACGAGGCTATACCGAATCCCACCATTTTGTCACTCCTCTTTCTTTTCTTTTCGTACTTTATATTTCTTTTGACTGCATTCACTTATCTTCATCCTTCGCCTCACTACCTTTTTACTTGATGTGCTGATATGAGGTGTAGCAACTCGGACCGTTACGCAGTAATGCCTGGTCCTATGTTGATAATGATGATGATGATGACGACTGGAAACCAGTTGACAGCCGTCTACGTGCTGTCTGACTGAGTGGATGTGTGAGAAGCAGAATGGTTTGGGAGACTAGCGGATGTCAATTTGTAATCTCCGTCTATGCACCCACCGATTGCATTTCGGCTGACGCAAAGAATGGATTCTTTCAGAAGCTACCAATTTTAATACTTAGGACATGATCAAATACAATCATAAAAGCAGTTGACTTCAGTGTCCAAGTAAGGAAAGTAAGCTAATCTGAGACACGTTAGAGGTATCTAGGTTATCTCATGCCAACGAACTGGCAGCAGTTATCGTCGCTTACACTCTGTCCTGACAGTTGCATATTTTTGATCAGTTCTAACTCCAAGCATGATGAAATACACTGTCACGTGGCGTCCGCCGACATTAAACGTGCAGTGAACAGAGGTAGATCATATTTCTATCAACCATCGTTAGAGAGAATGGGGGCTGTTTATGGAGTACTAGCTTAGGCTAAGATCACGCATTCGTTCAGGTTCGTGTTTATCTGTGCCTTATTTTTGTGAGAAAACAGGCGGTGGTTATAATTGTGTGTGCTGGTTGAAAGGTGTAAACGTGGAGTACGTTTTTGTGAAGGAGATGGCTGAGAACTTATCTAAATATAACAGCAGTGTTGTTCCGGTTGAAGCCTGGTATAATATTCAACGTGGTGTAGATACGGTGGTGATGGCAGACATTAACCTTTGTCCACAGGTCAGCAATTGCCAGTGAATTTCCACAACGTCATTTAAAGTAATGAATATGAGAAGACATATTCTGGCTTTCCAGTCTACGAAATGATCACAGTCAAGTAGTGGGTAGTAAAAGCGGCCGCATTAAGATTAGATACCTGAGAATCGTTTAGGAAACGATGGTCATTGTGATTTTTACTGTCCATAGCAATGTCTCATTTGGCAGTATTAGCTAGAATCTGAATAGAACGAAGGTGTTTGTTTCAGCTATTTTAAGGATGCTATTTGTAACCTGAAACGATGCAAGGTAGCAGGGTGTAACGGTGTAACTTTAGATTGATTTGAGGGAGGAGGGAGGTAGTAATGCCGCAGAGTAACAGGTACTAGGAAGCTTATATTTATCAGATTTAATACAATGAGACTGGTCTACTTTATTTGTTATTCCTGTCTACTGTCTTAACAGAGTTCGATCTACTCCCTGGATGGCATCTGGTTGACTTGGAGCATGCAAATAACAATATTTTTTCAGGGAAATACTCTGGCCCAATGCGGGGTTTTGGAGACTCTTTGGGCAGAGATCTGAGTATGTTTAGCTGCCATACGTTGGGACCTATGAAATGTAGGTTGATGCTGCAAAACTGGTCTGTAACCATCAGTTTAAGAGTGTGACGCGATACAATGCGTTAACCACTTCCGTAACTTGGGAGTTGCATCAACAGGAATAGGATTAGTTGCTGCCGTAATCTCAGCTGGGATACAGAAGGCCCGTTTGACATTTGCCAAATTGCATCCTCTGTGGCGCTAGCTGGTAAGATATCCGACTACCTGTTAAAGGACGAGTATACTGCACTGCAGTCCGGTCTTCCTTGTTATACGACTGTGAAGCATGACCGCCGTTGAAAGTCGACGAACTGACGAGATTACAGGTTTTTGACCACAGATGTCTTCGCAGCAATGTCGAGGTTAGGTGAAGAGTTCTACCAAGACAGTCAAGTTAGTTGTCGAGGTGGTTGTGAACCTTAGTCGACTGAGGTGTCCTGAACATGTGTTGGGTATGTGGAGTCACCACCACCTACCTATCTTGAGATGGAATGATAGAGTAAGTCGAATGGGTTGGAAGAAGACTCATGGTGGTCAGACCTGGATGTGGCACCAGTTGTTGACAACAGTGCAGATATGTTCACTCTTTGATATCTTCTGAACCTTGTTTTTCTTCCCAAAAACCTCTGTTTATTTTAGTCTGAGTCATTTTATCTCTACTTGTTCTGTGTGAGCCACTGCGAGGACATATAAGATCAACGTAGAACCTTGCACAGAAGTCCATTTGTTCAACTACCCACGCTTCACAATAGTATATAAAGGACAGGTGTATCGAAAAAGAGTGATATCAAAGAAGCAGTAGTATGACACATTTAGCAGTTTAAAGATAATGGTTAGTACGAATATTCAAGCTTTAGTAGACATCAGGGAGTAAGTACATTTGTGCCACTGTGACTAATCTTCAACCATGTCACCAAGAGTCTTCAAACACTGATTCCTATAGTTTCAGGGACCCCAACCAGGCAGTCTACATCTCACATAGCTCAGACCACTGTGAAGTTTGGCAGCTTGAGATGATACATTTATGCGTTGATTTTGTCTATCTCTTGCATATGATATCTGTTCCAGTTATTTTTATTCGCAGTGATAACTGTGCTGATTTCTTTCTTTTTGAAATTTATCTCAAGTCTTTGTCGTCACATTTCGCTGTCTGGCCCGATAACAATACGTCATGTTACTCTTCTGTCCCACTGCAACCTTCTCAAAACACTGTTCCTCCGAATCATTTTGGATCGTTTGTTGGGGTCTCTTCTCCCAATTGTAATTCAACTGTTTGTATGAATTCAGGAAGTCAATCATGGAGCACGAATCAACCCTCGCCACACCAGGCTTTTGGAGGTTTTGTTACTTATCCGTCGAATAACTTGGCATCAAACCATGAAGCATACTTATCTCAGGTAACTTCTGATATGAGTTATTCATATCTGTCTACCATGACAGCTCATAGATTTCTTAATGGTTTGTAGATTTGAAGTTCTTAAGTTGACCAGACTTTTTTGGTCAAGGTGGTTGTGGATCCTTACCATATTAGAATATATATATATATATATATATATATATATATATATATATATATATATATATATATATATATATATATATATATATATAAGAATGGATTATTTATGCACTCTCAAAGATACAATCAAAAAAGTTTTCCCCGCTGTCGTTTTACTTTCCGATAACAGAAGAAACAACGAAGTCGCAACATGATCAGTACTGGTTCTTAACCCTTAAACATATACATTAGCACATCGAACCACTACGTTACATGGTAAGATGAACGTAATCTACGAAGTCACAAGGTTCAAATAATGCCAACCCAACACAATTTTTTTCATCTCAAGAAGCTTCTTAAAATTACCGCCTTCACGAACAGTAATTGATATAGGAGCCACTGGGGCATTCGTATCATGTATCCACTCCATGGAAACTGGATGTTTCAAGATGAATTCACTCAATGAATGACTGATCTACATCATGGCTAGACACTAGCTACCTCACGTCAAAATCTCACCGGATGTGAAGAATTCTGCCAAAGCAACAGTTATCAAACACCAACATTTTACTACATTCTCAGATCGTAGAGTATGTTTCACAGATGTGGAACAGAACTACCTGCAACTTAACACTGTACACTCGACGGTTTACAGCCAAGCTAGTGTCACAACAGCGTTTGCCACCCTAACTTTCAGTATACAGTTCGTTCGCGTCTACCATCACTCACAACTACCTAGGCGGACGAAATTCTGCAAAGTTTCACCATCTACGGAGGAGTGCAGGTACAAGCTTGTGTTGTTGTAGGGGCGCTCTGTACTTACGTAGGGTAAATCACATGTCACTAGCTAATTAAATGTGATTTGAGTAGTCTGTGTCTTACCATACAGTACGAAGAAATCGTCCTCATAATCAAAGTGTAATTACAATCTACCACCTTGCTGAAGTTTAGCTCCTATATTAAGGCCGGAAGGTCTTTTTTATGGCAAAAGAATAATAAACAGGTCAACCTGGTGCACGTATATGTACTATGCTGTAAGCCACATTTGTTACATAAAGGAAAGGCCTAAGATACTGACCCGTTGCCCGGGCAGGTGCAGGTGAAGTGAGATTTGAAACCAGAACCTATTACTTGAAAGTCGAAATTTTAAATCAATGAGCCTCATCTTCATCCTCGTAGCAAGTCTAAGCCATGCACCTCCTTCAGGATTATATGGAGAATATTATCGTATCAAGATTAAAAAAAAGAGTGAGAGAAGCAAACATCCCTGCCTAACCCTGCTGTCGGTTTAGAACAATCGATATGGGTGGCTATAAGTCTTTATCTTACCTGAGGCGTTGAAGTATAAGACTTTCGGGATGGCAACAAACTTCCCGAGGACACTTCCCTAACAGACATTTACAAGGTACGGCCCTGTCGAATGAAACGGAAACAGCTCTTATATCGAGACATAAAACAATTGTTAACCTGCAGTATGTATGGCGGTGTTCACGTATCTAATGGAGAGTAGACATGATCAATGCATTCTCGACCTGAGTAAAAACTCACCTTTCTCCTTACGAATGAACCCTTCACGTCTGAAGTAACTGTGAAGATCAGTGTCGGGCAACAATTGGATTTTACAGTAGCAAACTGATACGCCAATGATTCACATACTATGCGTAACCCTATTTTTAAAATGCACTAGTTCCACAGCGATGGCACACATCACCTGACATACTTAAAATAATGTGGTTAGTTCCTGACAACGATCTCACTTAAAACTAAGAAGTTCTGAAGGTAGACATTTTGAACCAAGTGCTTTATAGCGCTTAAATTTCGTTGTTACTTAGGAATCCCTGCTTCATCTGTTGGATCGGTGCTCACCGAAAACGGAAAACTGAATTTGCTGTAAAAGTAGGTCGATAAAATTACTTTTCGAAGTGCTTTGCCCTACATTCCAATAGTGTTCAGTGAATCTTAATGAACTTACTATTAGCATGATGGACCGTCTCACTGCCCGGTGGGTCAGATGAGCTAAAACAGCGTAATGAATGTAGGAGTAAAACTTAAGCAGTGTGGTTAAGGATAGCTTCATGTCAATTAAGCTTATTAGATATGGGGGACAGAGAATGATACAATAATATTTACTTCATGGCGTTCCCAACACAGTTTTTGTTAACCATCGTATCTACTTTTGGTTTGCTCTGCATACTTCTATAACTTTCTATTCTTTTATTTTATTAGTAGTGGAATTTCCTGTATATCACTTGTCAATATTGATTTATTCCTATTACATATATATCATATGTTGATTCATTAATCAATCTCCCTCTATCAAACTACATTAGTTTGTAGGGCTGTTACTCTGTCCCATCGTATTGTCTTTTCAGAGCATTGTAAATTAGCTAAGTTAAGGATAAAGAACCCAATAACAATAAGTAATATAGAAAAGACCTCAGGTATTGCTACGCTTCAACCTACACATTTTTACGTAACAGGGCGAGACAGAGTAACAGCCCCAAAGATTACGTAACTAGATGGACGGACAGGTTGCCAATCAGATCCCCGTTCATTGAATTAACATTGTAACAAAGGCAATAGGAATTACTCAACAATACTACATAATATATACGCGAAATTCTACTACCATCAGAATCAAAGAATGATAATTAATGGGACTACATAAACCAAACACGAAAGTTCCATGATCCGTAGTTTTTTTCTAGCCTAACGCAGCAAGTTGAATTAAGACGGCGTTTGGAAGTACAGAAAATTATTTCCTAGCTGTTTCATTTGAAGGATTACAGCTCCATTAATTTATTGGTACAAAACTGAGATCAGCCGTAAAAAAAATCGTTCCGCTTACAAATTTGGAAAATATATTCACCAAATATCGTGCTCTATATCACGTTGAGCAATTCCATTTTATATTTGTGGGAACTAATGAGAATTTTTCAAAAATAGTTGTTTGTTCTTATTATCCTTTAATCAATGAAATTGAAATCTTTAATTGTTTAAAATCTAAAAGTTACCTACAAAATAAAAATTGCTTGCGGTTACTATTTCACTAACAGGTGTAAAGTATGCATCGCTTGCTTTTCTAATTGTAATTCAGCATCTTTTTAATGAGTACCAAAGTCTACTTTTTATATTATTAGGTCCAAAGTCAGTTGACAGCAATACATCTGGGTAAAAGTTCTTTGAATTCCTAGGCATTGATGAATTCTCTTCGCTGAGACAGACATGTTTACATGTGCATATCCTATCCTATTGAGAGCACAAACAGACGATTAATCATCTCTTCATAACCTTTTTGAAAGCATATTGTAAAACTGTTGCAGATTTGTAATCATGTCTCTTCGCTTACTCTTATCATCTGTCTCAAGTGTAATACATGTCACAGTTTCACTTCATAACATTTTTACTGTGATCTGTGAATTTTATTTTGGTTTGAAAGAAGACAACCGTTTCACTCTCACTTGTTCAGTTTTAATTTGCGTGTGGTTTGTGTTGATTACTTTTCTTCTGCTTTTTTTTAAAACGTGTTTCACAACTATTTTGTTAGCACTGATGCAACATATTATGGACAGTAAGCTTTTAAATTTCCAGTCGGTGTGTGTTCACTACTTATTGTTGTTAATTTTGTAGATGATTATTTCGTAGCTTGTTTTAATTACCATAGTACATTTATGTATGGAAAATCAAAGCATATTATAGTCTTTTCCTGTTTTATTTCCAAACTTATTTATTCACTGCTACTGACTAAAGTTTCGTAACTGCTTTGTAATTTTGTTTGTAAGGTTATTAAACAAAAATCTTTTTGTATCATAATATGAGGTTGAGTGAGAATTGTTTTCTCCAGTTAATTTAATTTTGGCGGATTCGTTTTGTTTATGTAAATTGATTCATCAACAACATACTACAATGGTTACGACACACATTCCGCGAATTTCCACGACGTTAAGACTTGACTGTTCAACGTAAAACTGTTGCCACATTAACTCGGTGCCCTTGCTTGCATATCTCAATTTCCTAACGATCTGCATTGATTGGAACGCTTGGTTTATTTTAGAAAGACTTTTTGTATTCTGGTAGGACGAAAAGCAGTTTCCGTCATCGTATAGATTGCTGCGCTATGGTTGCGATTAGAGGGAAAAGTCATACTGCTGCCGGCTGGATGGGATGTTTTTGTAATTGAAGAAGCAAGTCCGATGGTAGGAGACTTTGTCAGTCAGCAGAATTTCGTAGCGATTGAAGTTGCCACACCGCATACAACATAGCAAGTTAGGCGGCAATATCAAAGAGAGAAATAAACTAAAATATCATCAAACCAGAACAACAAAGAATGGAACATTTATGAAATTGTGTATGACGATTAAGATAAATAAATGGATGTATCTGCGGCACTGAAGTCGATTTTGATTCATATCACCAACAAACGATTTCACTTGTTACTCGGACCCAAGATAAGAAGTCTACATTTCGCTACGCGTCTCAGACCAACAGACAGACTTCATGAACGGATGTAGCTTTGTATTTCAGCCTACTCTAACCTCTTTCTAGCCTGAACCTGCTGCAGCCAACATTTTTATAGAAATCCAGATGGCGGCCAGGGACGGATGCCACATGTCTTAGTCATCTGATTGAACAACGGTTTACAACCTCATTAACTGACCTACCTCCTTCATTTAAAACTCTAGGTCTGACTTTTACATTATTGGTACGGTGGTATCAAAACACATGACGTGCTACGCAGGTCGAGTATCCGAAGCCTCTTCGTATCCTCTCCATTTAGTCGCTTTTTCATGACCATATATGTTTGAACATAACGAACTACATCGTAGTACACTTTGCCTCTAATAGGTAATCAAATACCACGGTAGTGCCGTAAGTTCACAAAATCAACCAACCAAACTATTTGAATCCGTGCAGGATTTTCTTCGGTCACTAACTCGTATGCGCTGATCTGACAAGTCAGGAACGTGAAATAGGAAGCTCACTCAACTACTTCACTACATACTGCTAGACGAGGTCTCATCGCAGAAGTCTTTTCAACTATTCGATAAGTAAGATTCCATATGTTGGTGTTCCGTACAGGGGTTCATTCCTTAAACCTTTATCAGTCTGCTTCTCAAGTCTCTCAGCCTACAGGAATGCATTCATATGCATCCGTTATTTGAAAAGATACTGCTGAAATTCAATGATTCTTTCGAACCACCATAACAACCAGTCACAGTTTTTACCTCCACTGGCGAAATGTTCTTCCTGTTTTCATTGTTGAGTTGAGGTGGATGCCATGTTAGTGTCTCTGTGTGAAGTCTATATTGACCGGAAATAAGTGGTTGTCTGAGCATAGTGGTAGCAGACAGTCGCTGTTAGTTGAGTCAGAATTCTGAGAATACTTTTCTGTCACACCTAACCTACGCATTTGTGCATTGAAATCACCTCCCACGGTGATTGCATGTGAACGTTTGTCTTTCCGTAGAAAGCGTGAGTTTTCGGCAAAACTCACCCTTCATTTCATCCAAACTGCAGTCAGTGGGTGCTTAAGCAGAGATTATAACCAGCCAACGGTGAGTTCCACATATCTCTTAAGTCCTCACTGTTATGTTCAATCGAACAGAGGATAGGCAGTTGTCAACTGAGAGGTTAGGTGAATAATCACACTTGAGACTTGTTTTACATGTCTCACAATCTGAGCGCACATCCAAGGCGCAAGTTTTCCTTCGCTAAGCTTATTGTCCGAACTGATGGATAGAGCGGACACTAGAAGCTCTGATATGTAGTTTGGAGCGTGGCTTCAAGTGGCCACGGAAGCATTTCTGTGAACTCCATCTGGACAAAATCAAAGGTGAGGTAGAACTGCTAACAAAGAGTTGTGGAGATTAGAAGGTTAACCTGCAGATGCGGATCATGAGGAACTTCATGTTGACAGAATTCAGGTCATCAAGTGTGACAAATGTCGGACTTTTGAGTATATCATAGTTTCACAACCCGAAGTTATTTAAAGATGAAAACACTCACTGCTACTTGCAACTTAAACTTGCTGTTCGTGTGGTATAGGTGGAGACTGGTCAAAAACGTATCGTACATAGCATAACCAGTATTCGGCAGATACGGGGATGAGTTAAAATATAAGTACGCTTTTGGATTTTAACTCCTAATAGGTACGCTTTCCAAAACCTCTCCGGCTTAAATAGTTCACCAGTTACTAGCCGGTCCTAAGCCAGAGTAAAGAGGGAAGGTTGGGCATAGGGCTAGCAACTTTACCCCGTAAAACCAATCCAATCGCTACAGAAACTCCAAGGCACAGACAAAATATAAAAGATAAAAACAATATTCCTCGCTGGAATCAGGGAGACGAAATAACACCGGTTGGTGAAAACCCTCGGGAAGCCAATTGGCCGATGTGTCTTCGCTTCTCTCGATAAAGCCAACAGTAAGCATGGGACATGGAATGTCCACACAATGTTTGAAGCCGGTTGGCAAGGCTGCACAGATTGCAAAAGACATGAGAAGTGCTTGGAATCTGCGAAATGAAAGTGGACTCTCCAAACTGTCAACTGGAGAATCAATAATCTACTACGATATTGTCACCCAGACGACAACTACGAGCACACTGAGTTATGCAGCGGCTATCATGATGTCCCCCTCCCAACAGCATCGGAGGCTCTCTCTCATGCAGTGGGAACCAATCCCCTCCTGCAGGATCAGGATCATGACAGCAAGATTCAACTCAAAGGAAGGGAAGTCATAATCATACAATGCTATGCTAGGCACCTACAAATAATAGAATGCAGATGAAGAGAAGAAGGAGGAATTCTACAGACAACTGCAACCAGTACTGGACAAGACCCCACCTCAGATGGCGACATCAGAATTCTAGTGGGTGGGGTGACATGAATAGGAAACTGAGAGAGGACAACACAGGAAGAGAACTAACTATGGGTCGAGAAGCGCTCGGTGAAATGATGAGTGAGAATGGAGAACTGTTTGTAGAATTCTGCTCATTCAACGATCTGGTGATTGGAGGCACTGTGTTCAAACACAAGGATATCCACAAAGCGACATATATTTCGCCAGACACCAGGACACACTAAGAATCAGATCGACTTGATCTCAATGTGAAGAAAGGGTGGTGGACGCAGCCTACTGGACACAAGATGAGATCAAGAAGGTGAGTAGATGTAGGTTCACATCAATCACAGTCTAGTGCAAGGGACCTTCCAAATCAAGTTGAAAACCTTCAACGAAGAAGTTGGTGATAGACCATAGTTCAAGTTGAACACCCAGAACAGAAACTGAACTGAAGGACGAAACTATAAGGGACATGTTCTCCTCAGCCATTAGGATAAAATGGGCGATATCGAGAAACATCCCTGAAGAAACTTATGTGGAAGGACACTGGAACTCTTTGAAAGCTATGTGGAAGGAAACCTGCATAATCGTGTTAGGAAGGAAGAAGAAGAGTTAAGACAAGGGATGAATCTCGACGGACACATGGAAGATGTCAGAGGAAGGAGGGAAGCAGAAGATGAACTGGTGCAGTGCGGGGATGAACAACGAGAAGAGGAGCTGAGTACGATGTATAAAACACTGGACAAAGAAGTGAAGAAGAGTGCGCGCGAAGACAAAAGATACTTCTACGACACACTGGCAAGTGAAGGAGAACAAGCTGCAGGTAGGAGAGACCTGACAACATTGTATAAAATAATCAAGTTACTATCTGGGAAGTGATCGACACAGATGAAACCAATAAAAGATGAAGAGGAAAATTTAATTACGAAAGAAGAGAAACAAACGAAACGATGGACTGACCACTTCAAAAAGCTGTTGAATCGACCTTCACCACCACCTGCAAAGCGTCCAGAAATACCACCAGCATTCCAGCCATAGAATTACCAGTGAACACAAGCCCTACAACAAAATCAGAAGTGTAGTCCTGAACACCACAAAGTTTCTGAAATGCGGGAAAGCAGCAGGACCACATGGAATCCCGCCAGAAGCACTGAGAACAGACGCAGAGACAACAGCGAATGTGCTCACACCACTACTGCAGAAGGTTTGAAAGGAAGTGAAGGTGCCTGCCTGTCGATTAGAAGAAGGGCTACCTTGTCGAACTCCTGAAGAAGGGAAACCTAAGTATTTGCAATAACTGTCGCGGAATCACTCTCCTGTCCACCCCAAACAAAATACTAGGCCACATCATCCT